TCTTAGCTAAGCCACCAGACAAGAAAAGGAAAGAGCGTCAAGCTGCTAGACAGGCCTCCAGAAGCACTGCGTGAGTTTATATTTTGCTATTGGAATAAAGGACACTGGTAACATCAGATAATAAAGGCAGTATGAATCTTGAAGTAAACTGATTTGTTGTTGCTTTTCTCCCTTCCCTCCATTTGCTAGGTATGAAGATTATTATTATCACCCTCCTCCCCGAATGCCACCTCCAATGAGAGGTCGAGGTCGTGGTGGCGGGAGAGGTGGATATGGCTACCCTCCAGATTATTATGGCTATGAAGACTACTATGATGATTACTATGGTTATGATTATCACGATTATCGTGGAGGCTATGAAGATCCCTACTACGGCTATGATAATGGCTATGCAGTAAGAGGAAGAGGAGGAGGAAGGGGAGGGCGAGGTGCTCCACCACCACCAAGGGGGCGGGGAGCACCACCTCCAAGAGGTAGAGCTGGCTATTCACAGAGGGGGGCACCTTTGGGACCACCAAGAGGCTCAAGGGGTGGCAGAGGGGGTCCTGCACAGCAGCAGAGAGGCCGTGGTTCTCGTGGAGCTCGGGGCAATCGAGGGGGCAATGTAGGAGGCAAGAGAAAGGCAGATGGGTACAACCAGCCTGATTCCAAACGTCGTCAGACCAACAACCAACAGAACTGGGGTTCCCAACCCATCGCTCAGCAGCCGCTTCAACAAGGTGGTGACTATTCTGGTAACTATGGTTACAATAATGACAACCAAGAATTTTATCAGGATACTTATGGGCAACAGTGGAAATAGACAAGTGAGGGTTTGAAAAACGATACTGGCAAGATACGATTGGCTCTAGATCTACATTCTTCAAAACAAAATTGGCTTAACTGTTTCATCTTTAAGTAGCAGTTTGCTGCCATTTGTATTCAGCTGAAGAAATCACTATGTGTATATACTCAAGTCTTTTTATTTTTCTTCTTTTCTAAATGCTCTTGGACATTATTGGGCTTGCAGAGTTCCCTTATTCTGGGGTTACAATGCTTTTATCGTTCCAGGCTTCATTTAAGCTTCAGAACAGACTGTTAAATCATGATTTTGCAGAACCTTTGGTTTGGACAGTTCTGTTTTTTTGGATTTGGAATAGATTACATAGGAGTATGAAGTATGCTGTAAATAAAAAAAGTACAAACTAGTGCTCTGTCTTAGTAGTTTTAAGAAATTAAATCAAACAGATTTAAGTTTCCTTGTATTGAAAATAACCTATGACTGTATGTTTTCCATTCCTAGAAGCAGGTTAACTGTGTTTTTAAATTGTTATAACTTCACACCTTTTTGAAATCTGCCCTACAAAATTTGTTTGGCTTAAACGTCAAAGCCGTGACAATTTGTTCTTTGATGTGATTGTATTTCCAATTTCTTGTTCATGTAAGATTTCAATAAAACTCAAAAATCTATTCAAAACATTACCTATTTCAAATTCAATTGTGTCCTAAAACATTATTTTATTCGTAATCCTTGAAGGAATACTGTTTTCAAAGTAGAACTGCCTATGTGAGTGATCAAATTCATGAAAAATTTCTTGTCTATTCCATCATGTATTGTGGATACCAGATTTGAGGATTATTCTAAATTCACATATTCCAAATAGCATTTCATTGATTGGTGTTCTCTCATGATCTCTTCTAATTTTGAAATTTTATCCTTAAAACAAAAACAGACTCAAAGGTTTTGAACAGGTATTGGATAATTTTCATTAAAGCAAAATGGAGCTGGGGAAGCAGAATACAATTTATTTTGACCCACATTCTTTCAAATCAAGGATAATTTATGACTGAAGACTTTATTTGCTGGATAAGTAAATACAAATACAGACAAAATTTAGTATTGTGGTGTCATTTGCACTGTGAACTAAACTTCAGTTTTAGTGTTTATGGTCAGCACCCCTGTATCAGTTACTGGACCATGATTCCTATTGCTGAGTACACTTGCTTTGGGAAGCAGTCATGCCTTAGAAGAGGTTTTTAAATATCAAGTAGTTACGTCTCTGGCTTTCTGCTGAATCCTCTTTATTTTTAAATTTTTACTATGTCTACTGGCTAAATTTTTGTTCGCCAAGTAATAACATCTATTTCCTTGTTTCTTTTAGAAATTCTAATTTATTCTAATGACTTTTTGCTGAATGAAAAGAGCAGAAGAATGTAAATTTTCAGTTTTTTTTTTCCTTTTGGTGCTGGGAATTGAATCCAGGGCCCAGTACACATGCCACCATTGAGCTGTATCTCTAACCCCTCTAAAATGTTTTAAATTATAAGACATAAGCCACTGGGGAATTAAAATGAACTCCCTTGTTTTATGCTTTGTTCCTGTTTGGTGTCTTTTGTGGTCACAATTTTAGATTTTGGAATCATAAGCCATTTAATTCCTGTCGGCACAGTCAATCATATTTTCAGTTTCGTGACTTCATTTTGAATTTTAAAAATTAACATTTGCTGATGAAAGCCAAATACCACATTTTTTTTCAAAGTTTATTGACATAGCATAATAATTTAACAGGCTTTATTAGTAGTCCTATTTTGTAGAAGTTGATAAAGGAATTATGTGGCCTGTTGTTATAAATTAAGATGGGTGTTACTTGGTAAGGTTTAGAGTCCAGTTTTAAATTTTTCTTATGGCCATGTATACAAATAGAGCAGATATTTCTTAAACGCTGCTTTTAAACTTTGAAAATATAATTTGAAACCTTGAGTGTAAATTAGACTTAAGTCACTAATTTGTTCTTGGGAAGAACAAAATGTACAAGTTAAATTTTCATTGCTAATGTTTTTTTAAAACATGTTATGGGCTAACAAGATGGCCCAGCAAAATGCTGTCAGACCTGACTCTGTGAGTGTGACCTCAGAGCCCACAGTTGTCCTCTGACTTCCATAAGTGTGCTGTGACACACATGCTTCGCACACAGTTAATTGATTTAAAAAATGTTTAATTAAATGTTTGTCATTAAGAAAATTAGGAGAGGAAATAGAAGTGCTTCTGAAAAAGCAGTTCATTATGCTTCTATCAGTGACCCTAAAATACAAACTAAGCAAAAACAGTAAAAACTCAAGTTCCATTTCAAAATCCTTTTATTGTACATTCTATTTCAGATTTTAAGTGGGCACTTCCTTTTATGTCCCTCTCACTAATTAAAGATATATCTACAGATATTTCCTTTAATCCTTGCTTTAAAAGTTTCTATTGTTAAAAATCGGTGACCCTATTAAAAGTTTTATTTTAGAGCTTTTCCTATTTGATATCATTCAAGTTATGGCTTGAACATTCACTCCCCCCACCCAAAAAAAAAAACCCAAACCAAAAACTCAGTGCTCAGCTTTTCATGGAAATTGAACAAATGTCAATCAAAGAAAGTTGTAGATTTGTGGTAGGGAATTTTATTTATTTGTTTATTTATAAGTAAATAGGCACAGATTATGAATTTTGAGGGATTTGATTTCCTATTCGTCAACCTTTCTATCTTTTTTTTTTCCTTCCCAACCTAGTTGATGAAGCTTTATTTTTGAGCCTGTCAGATGAAATAAGTGTTGGAAGTAATACCTATATTGAGGTAGACCTCTTTGTAGGTATCCTCCTGCGTTAATGAGTATATTCCTTCCCCATAATGGAATGCTAATTTTTATTTGATCACTCATTTATAGCAGTTGTTTATGTATATTTATATGAAGGTGTTCTAATTAAAAACAAAAAAGTTCTAATAAGTTGCCAGATTTCTAATTAAATTCAGATTTACCTGATCCAAAAAGATAAGAAAAATGAATTATGGTTTTAAAATTCCTTTTTTTAAAAAATGTACAGCAGATTTGTTTTTCATTTTTCTTAGATACAGGGGTTATTCTGCAAAAGAAAGCCCAATGCTTTCTCCTAATTAGAAATAATTTTTTTCATTTGACTGGTTTAGGATATGAATCCTCTTACAAAGATTAGCATGCATCAAAATAAATTATGTATTTTAACTTATAGGAGAGAAGGGACATAAAATTCCACTCTATCATAAAGCCTTATAAAATTATTCTTGAAACTCATTACATCATTTGCCTCCTGCCCATTTATATATAATCATACCTATGTTTTATTGTGTATTATTTGTAAAACAAAACCCAGTAAATACTTGCTATAAGGCTATTCCTTGTTTTTTCTAAAGACTTACAAATTTATTAAAAGTTTGCCTTACAAAGTCTTTCCAAAGACAATCTAACTGGACCAAGCTGTCCTCAGGACAGTCAGCTGTACTTAACTGTGTGCGCTGCACTTTGATTTGGAATTTCTTAAGTGAGCAGTGAAGAGAAAGCCTTATAGAAAGACTGCACTGGACCTGTAAATGTGTTTCTGTTTCTCTAAGATGGGAGCTTCTGTTAACTTAGGGTCCAGTTCTGAGTAAGCCTGTGGATCACATGACTGCTGGGGAGTCCAGAATAACAGATCCATGAACCAAACATGTTTACTTCTGCATTAGAAGTTTGTTGGTCAGCTCTTACTTTTTGAAATGCAAAACCAAGTTTTAAAAATACTACTTAATATATTGGTCAGTAATTTAATATTAATATTTAATTTGAAACAGTTACTGGTACTCTTCCTAGAAATTTTTTTCTTTTTAAAAATGTTCTTATATGCCTATATATTTGTTATTGTTATTGTTATTTTGAGGTTACCAGAAGCTCTGGTTTTGTTTTGTTTTTGCTTTTTTTTTTTTTTTTAAATCATTTTCAGATGTTGTCCAGAAATCTGCAAGTATTCTTTTCCTGTTTTAACTCCTTCCTTTTATCACCTGACTATCAGGGAAGCGAGGTTGAGGCTGCCCTGCCCTGACATGTCATGATGTCGACTTGCTAGGTGGGGTTCGCTGGGGACCATAACCAGTGGAATTGTTGGTAAGAACTTTATTTTTCCTATTTCTTTCTTTCTTTTCTTTCCTTTCCCTTTTTTTTTTTTTAATTCATTAGTGGGGAATTAATTGTGGGAAAATGCTGCCCATATCTTACCAGTAGGCAGTTGTGTTGGCCTTATAGAAAAATAAGATTTTAAATACTATTTGTATTCTCAGTAGGAACATATAATAAGGACTTCACTCATTCTTAGATTAGTAGGTCAACTGGAAAGGCCTGTAGATATTAATGAAATATTCCCAGGTATAAATTATTGAGATAGAGATACTTTACAAATCTAGAACACCTGTTGAAACAATAATGACATTTTATTTTACTGTGATTTTAGCCTCTTTGTTATCTATTATATTTTTGTTGGATAAGTTAGTTTATTAGTATTTTAAGAGATTTATTGCACACTAATTTTTAGTGAAAAAGAGAAAGTATTGCCTAGACTGGAGGGTTTAAATGGTATATTACATATTTTTATTTCTATAAAATTTTGATATTGTAAAGTTAAACTTGAAAGTTTTAGCAATTTAATAAAATAGCAGTATTGATTTAAAGATATGTTAGGACCTTGAACATGAACAGAAACATAAAGGTGGACTTGAAGGTATGGCTCAGTGAGAGCGCATACTTACTATGTCTGAGACACTAAGTTCAGTCCTCAGCACCATTCTAGATAAAAACCCGTTATAAACCTGTCACTGCCAAGAATAGTAAATACTGCTAGAATTAATGTTCAAAATCTAGATGATACTAAATTATAATTCTGTACTGCGTGTGGTGGTGCTCACCTGTAATCTCAGCACTGGGGGACTCTGAGGAAGGAAGATTGGGAACTCCTGGCCACCCTGAGTAACACGGTGGGACCCAAGGCTCAGGATGTAGTTGAGTGGTGGAGCACTTCTGGCTACCTAAGGGTCTATCTAGGTCAGTACCTAGTAGCACAAAAAATTTTTAGGCAACAATAACAACAACAACAACAAAAAACTTATCCCAGCTTATACTCAGGAAATTTCATGATGATTATGTATAAATTGAGGGAAGCCAACTTATTAACTGTAAAAAAATAATTTCAGTATAATTTGTAACAGATTAAAAGTAATTATGGGTTTCCATGTCAGGAGAACTGTTCTCAGTATTCTTGTGGAGCTTAGCCTTTTATTGGCAGTATCAGTATAGACAGAATTTGGTAAGTGTTACCCATGTGTGAGTCAGTGTTGTGAGTATAAATGCTTAGCTCTCAGTTTGTTTAGAATGGCTAGCTGAGTATCGCAAATGACATCAACAAGAATGACTGGCGATTTCAGGGTTGGGTTCAAGTTTTGTGTTTCTTTGTACACATTTTATACATGTCAGTGCTAGAAGAAAATCAGGTGTAGAACTTGAATGCTTGCTAAAAAGCATGCCTCTTGGGAACTTTGTTGGTGTTAGGAGCACTCAATTTTGATGAGTTTGTGTAAGTTAAGAGAAATAACAGTGCACATTTATTGACCATATGCATTTGCAACAAAATACATTTAATGGGACCAGAAAGGGAAAGGGGCACTATGGAAGAACACTTAAATTGCTCCAATAAGGGCTTCCATTTCATGTAACAGCTGTGTCAGGATCCCAGAACATTCCTTACCTTGATTTCTCACAGGTAAAGGCCAAAAGAGAGAGCCAAAGAGACTTCTCTGGCCTGCTGAAGAACATATAGATAGACTTGTACTTTAAAGAGTCACTACAGTGTTTGGAGTTATGTTCTCTGGCTATTTCTAGAATTGAACTGAAAATGCTTACAGACACTAAATTCCTGGTGTGCATACAATAACATGAGCTATTTCCAAATTGGGAAATTTACAAGATTTTTTTTCCATTTAATTATTTTAAGAAAAACCTGCTTTTGGTACAGTGTTTATGTACCATAACTGTATTGGAATATTTGTACAATGTTAATATTTTTAATAAAATTTAACATGTTCAAAATGTTGTGTTGGTGATTTGGGGTGGGGTGGGATGGATTCAGTTGTGCAAAGCAGATTCACAGGTTTTTGTAGTCAATAGGAATTCCTCCCAAATTTGGTACTAACCTATTTGAAGTAAGCCAGTCAAGGAGTAGCAAAGTAGTTACTTGTACTGAGTTCCTGGGTGCAGGTCTTCCTGGAGGGTACTTAGAGTACCTTGGATGAGACCTGGGCTCGAATAGGTCAGGCCGGAATATTGAGTTTGGCATTACAGGCTACCAGCAAAGTTTTTCTGAGAAAAATTTAACAACCACATTAGAATTGATCTTGAGAATCTCTGAAGGGGCAAATGGAAACACCTATATGGTGTTTTCAGTAGGATTTTTATTGCCTTGAGCCTGTAACATGATGTACCACAAAGAGAGGTGGCAAGAGGGGGTATTTGATGACAGCTGTGTTGGAGGGTTTGGGTGTGTAGTCAAGGAATACTGCCAGTGAGCAGGAAGTTCCATGTGGAGAGTTCTCTGTGTGTTCAAGTAAGTTCAGTTTCTGTTTTCATACAGCTCCCATTCTCTTGCAGGTTTCCTTGATATGGCCAGTTCTCTTCTGTTACTTTCCTTGAGGGTGTACTCATCCTTACCAATGGTAAAGATGGAAGTTCTGCAGCTCACAATGAAGATTTACCTGAAGTCCTACACCCAACCCTCTTTGTACTGTGCCATTAATATAAAAAAGACTCAGGGGAAGGTCATGGGGGACGAATGGTCAAAACAAATTGAATGAGTAGCAAGGAGTCCTAATATATTCTGTCTTATTTCTTGAATGAAGATTGTTGATAAGTGTGAGTTATAAGTAAGATGAGACTGATAAGGCCTTCCCTGGGATCACTGGTTTTTAGTTTAGTGGTTTTTTTGTTTTTGTTTTTTCTATTGGTCTCCAAGACAAAAGATGAGTGAACCAGGAAGGACTGTTGTTTGAAGAACATTTGAAGCTCTTTCAGATGTTGTCATAGTCAATGTAGGTAGGGCAGAGGCCAGGCAAGTACAGTGTAAGTACTGATCAGGCCCTACCCTGCTTATCTCCAAGATCAGATGTGGGCCACAGTTACTCTGAGATGTCTGTAGGCCATGTCTGCTGGTGTCTAGACCCTAAATTCATTTAATTCTTTGTAGAAATGAGTATTTTCCTGTGCAGTTGTGTTATTAACATAGAAGGATATCTTGTACCTGTATTTATGAAAAGATTGCTTTTCTATTTAGAAATTTCATAAAAATTAGGGCCATGTATAAAACATTTCCTGCAAGAAACCCTATTTTTTCTTTCAACTATTTTGCAGTTCCCAGATAGTGACCTAACTTTTTTTTTTAATGAGTCGTAACTATGTAGCCCTTGAACTCAGAGATCTGTCAGCTGCCTAAGTGCTGGTATTAAAAGCATATGTCACAATGCCTAGCCTCAGAAGGTGACTATTAGGGCCTAGTTGTTAGTAGGACACAGGGGTCTGTGATAATAGTTCAGTGGTGAGAAGACTTAACTCCTGTGCATAAATCCCTAGGTTTAATTCCTAGCCTGATGGGGAAAACAAGAGGCTAATAAATTAGGTCACAACATCAAACAGGCTCATGAAATACCTGAGGCTAACCTGGGCAACCTATATAAAAACAGTTTAAACTTTACAGCTTCATCCTTTTAAAATCACAAAGAAGCTGATCATCTTAAAACTCAGCTCCACAACTGTGGGTGTGAGGGTCAGTCCGGAAAGCTGCAGTACTGGTGGGAAGGGCTTGGCCTGGAGTTTCCAGCTGTGCAGAGGGAGAAGTATTACCTTGGATGGAAAGGGACTGCATCATTTCAGGTCTCATAATATTCCACAGAGGGATTTGTGTCTGCCCGGGTGTTTTTGGGAGATTAATTTTATGCTCAAGCCAAGAATTCTATAAGTCTGTATATTTCAGTTGACTAGATTTTTAAATAGATTAAACAGAATATATTATACTTCAAAAACTATTTTCTGTTTAAAAATTTGGGCTTTAAAAGGAAGTCTGCTTTCTATTGCTCAAAATGTTATCACAACAAATCCTGTCATTGAACTTGTTAGGTATAGTGGGGCTTAATTGTTTGGCTTTTGTTAAAATACTTAAATTGGTTTGGTCAGAAGAACTTAAATGCCCTTCCAGCAAATCATGGTAAAACTCAAAGATTTTGAGCCTGGCAATGGTGGCACACACTTGAATCCCAGCACTCAGAGGCAGAGACAGGATCTCTGTGAGTTCAAGGCCAGCCTGTTGGTCTACAGAGTGAGTTCTAGGACAACCAGGGCTACACAGAGAAACCCTATAACAAAAAAACCTAAAAAGCAAAGCAAAAACTGTTGGTGTGCCTCCTGTTGGGAAATAAAGTCCTGTTGGTGTCAAAGTCTGAGACTCCAGGAAGAGTCTATCCTTCACATAAATGTTGTGAAGAGGAATGTAGTGTTCCTTCATTGTAATCATTTCTATTTGATTTTCCTAAGTGAAAAAAGTGCTGAATGAGACCATTTATTGTAGATATCAAAATGATGGCTGTGTCATCCTAGCTACACTAGACTAAGCTGGGGCCGGAGGATTACCATTTTGAAGCCAGCTCAAGCAATATATAGACTGTTTTTTAAAACCTTTAGAAGGAACAGTGGGGGTTAATTAAATGTTTGGAGTTGTTTATGTTACAGTTCACTCAACAGTGCTCCTCAAAGCTGTTGTATATGAAAGCCTTTCGGGAATTTTCCAATTTCCTTTTTTTTTCAGAGTCCATTTCCCAGGCTAACACTGGACTTTCTGATTGATTGGAGGGTGCGGGGAAGTGTTGAAACGATTTACCTGATCTGAGATGAGACAAGAGGCTTCTGTTATAACACATTTCAGGGACTTAACAAAAGAAGATCTTAGTAGAAAACCTATCAAAAAGTCTTTGGTGGTTGTTACTTTATATTTGTTTTTTTGTTTTGTTGCTTTTTTTTTTTTTTTTTGAGAGAAAGAGTGTAAGAGCCAGAGGAGAAGAAAGACACCAAGAAAACAAGACCCTCTAAATAAACTTCTGATCAAACTATCTATATTTTTTGGCTGAATTCTTTTTTTTTAATTGAAAAAAATTGCTGTTTTTTTTTTTTTGAGACAGTTTCTCTGCATAGCCCTAGCTGTTCTGTAATTTGTAGACCAGGCTGGCCTTGATCTCATAGATTAGCCTGCCTCTGCTGGGACTAAAAGTGTGTGCCACCACTCCCAGCTTATTATTAAAATAGTCTCACTGTGTAACCCTGGCTGTCCTGGACTCATGTATATACCATGCTGGCTTCAAAATCAAACGTCAGCCTGACTCCTGAGTGCTGGAATTAGTGGTGTGCACTACCATGTCTGACAATAACGAATTCTTACACTGATTTGCCTAGATCTAATTGTGTGTTATGGTTTGAGGGCTGGTTGTATAGCTCCTGGTTTGCCACCTAGCAAACATTGGTGAAAACTGTAAATGTCACTAGTGCTTGGAGTCCCAAGGAAGTGATAAGAAATTAAAATGGATCTGGAAGGTATTTTAATAGTTGTAGGGGGTTGTTAGGAAATCAGGCCACTGAGGCAGGGTCACTGGGTGCTTGCTTAGGAGGGAGGTCAGAAGACAGGTTCAGGAGCTCCTGAAGGTAGAGATAGATTTAGAATGGGGATGTTGACTGGTTATCAAGAATATCGGTTGGTTTTGAGATGTGTTTTTGACCCTAAAAGAGGCCCAGTAATGCTGACTAAAGGGGAACTCAATAGAAATGACCTTTTGAAAATAACATTTGTAGATTTAGAACAGATGGGAAAAGCTTTAAAAGATACAACAAACATCCATCTTTCCATGAGAGGGCCTGGATGACTACTGATAAAATATCTGACTTTCAATTTTAAAATTTTATTTTGAAAAGCAAAAATTGATGAGGTATGGAAACAAATACTCTGTTTCCTTTTCATGGCAAGCTTTTTTTTTTTTTTTAATGGTAGGTTGATAACTACTATGAGTTCTGTGTACCATCCTCTGCTAAGCAGATGTTGTACATGGAATCTGCAGCACTGTAAGGTAGGTTTTATATATAAGCAACTCAGATGGAAAGTAAGTAAAAAGATTTGTAGCTAGTGGCAACCAACCTTACGATTGTTATGTAGTGACAAGGCTGGAATTCAAACCTTGACTCCCAAGTATTTTTGTACTGTTATTTTGAAACAGGTGTAGCCTAGTCTGGATTTGGACTAGCTTTGTAGCACAGGCTGGCTTTGAATGCTGATCATTCTGCCTCAAGTCCTGAAGCCCTGAGATCACAGGCATGTACCACTTTGCACTATTGTACAGCTAGCTTAACTACTAGATTGGAAATAGACATAAAATGAAGTAAATGATAAATTTAATATATACTTTAAAGCTATATTGTGTGCAAACTAAAGCTACCCTAATTTGAATTTAAAGTAAAATAGGTTGGGGGTATGGTTGAATGGTAGAGCATGTGCTTGGCATCATGTACAAGCTTTTGCGCCTATTCCAGCACCAAAGATGAAGAGAAAAAGGTAAAATAGTTCTACCAGTTATTTTAAAAACTTAGGTCATTTACTGGACATGGTGACTCATTCCTTTAATCCAAGCACTCAGGCAGAATCAAGTGGATCTCTGTGAGTTTAAGGCTAGCCTGGTCTACAGAGTGAGTTCCAGGACAGCCAGGGATATACACAGAGAAACCTTGTCTTGAAAACAAGATGAAACAATTTAAGTCAAAGTATCATTAGATTTTGGTCTGTGAGAAACCCAGTTTGGGGCTGCAAATGTCCAGTGGTAGACAGCTTATCTAATGTACACAGTGCTAGGATTTGATTTAGAAACCCAAGGAAAAACTTTAAGAAAAAAAGGAAGCTAGTTTTTCCCTGGGAAAGCTTATATTTGATTTGAAAAAGAAAGCTCCTTAAAAAAATTATGTGTATGGATGTTTTGTATGTCTCTGTGTCTGTGTACCATGTAAGTGCCTATTACCCTTGGGTCCCCCGGGACAGAAGTTTACAAGTGTTTGTGAGCCACCATGTTGGTGCTGAGACTCAAACTCTGGTCCTCTGGAAGAGCAGTCAGTACCCTTTACTACTGAACCATCTCTGCAGCCTAGAAAGCACTTATTTAAACATCTGAATTTGTTTTTATTCCCGAGTTCTATTTAGTAAGTCTTGTTTTGTTTTTTGTTTTTTTTTTCAAGACAGGGTTTCCCTGTAGTTTTGGTGCCTGTTCTGAATCTCGCTTTGTAGACCAGGCTGGCCTCGAACTCACAGAGATCCGCCTGGCTCTGCCTCTCGAATGCTGGTGTTAAAGGCGTTCTCCACTGCTGCCTGGCTTAATAAGTCTTTTAAAGTACCAGTTTATTAAATTGTGCCGTCATCTTCAAATTTATTCTTTCACATTTTTAAAGGATGTGGTGAAATTTTGCTAAAGGACTACCTATTAGATTTGTTGGTGTGTGAATGTGTAAAATACAAAGCCAGGCCTGCTTGTACATGTTTCTAATCCCAGCACTAGGGAGGCAGAGGCAGAAGGGTTAACACAAGTTCAAGCCCACCCAACCAGGGATACATAGTGAGCTACTATCTTAAGGGAAACAAAACAGTAACAAATAGAATTACATAACAAGCCCTGAATTAGTGTGGAGAACCTACTTTTAAAAAAAAAAATCAATGTGGAGAACATTCTCTAAAAAATTCTGTCTAAGCCAGGCATCCTACAAATGCCTATAATCCCAACACTCAGGAGAGCTGAAGTTAGGAGAACCAAAAGTTAGAGGCCGCTGGGACTTCATCCATAGTTGAAAGTTGGGGCTGGGCACACCTTTAATCCCAGCACTTGGGAGACAGAGGCAGGCAGATCTCTGTGTGTCCCAGATCAGCCTGGGCTACAAAGTGAGATCCAGGACAAACTCCAAAGCTACACAGAGAAACCCTGTCTTGAAAAACCAAAGGAAAAAAAAAAACCAACAACAACAAAAAACTATTTTCAGCTAGGCTTGGTGGCACATGCCTTTAATCCCAGTAGAGGCAGAAGCAGGTGACTCTCTTGAGTTTGAGGCCAACCTCATCTACAGAGCGAGTTCCAGGACAGACAGGGCTACACAGAGAAACCCTGTCTCGGAAAATAAACTCTTTTCCCAGCTGTAGAAACTGGGGATTTCTGGGCATTGGTGGCCCACACCTTTACTCTCAGCACCAGGGAGGCAGAGCAAGCCTGGTTTACAGAGCAGAGCAAGTTGCAGGACAGCCAGGGCTCGTACACAGGAAAACCCTGTCTCGAAAAACCACAAAAAAGAAATAATGGTGAGTGGAAAAAATAACAGCTTTAGGTTAGGGTATTTTTGTCTTTGCCATTCTACCTCTTGAATGTCTGAGCACATTTGAAAATTACACAGAAGGTGTTAGGGTTCTAGCTCGTTTGGTGGCAGGACTAGTTACCCAGCTAGCACAGTCATACTCAGACACTAGAAGGCAAGAGCTGAAACCTCCTATTTGCCATGCCGTCACCTTTGAGTTTCTCTAGCTCGCCTTAAAACGTTCATCCGATTTTGAGTGTGTTATGTATACATTTGTAGTGGTCTTGTACATACTAGGCAAGCGCTATACGCGTAGAACCCAGCTATATTCCCAGCCCTGGAATTAAGCCTTACTGTGGGGTCCATGAGTGGTTTTGAACCCACACATCCTCCCGCCTATGCCTCTTTGGTGGTGCTAGGGTTACAAATGTGTATCACCACACTGGGCCCACAAGGCTGCTTTGGGTTAGGGTAGATTACATGGCTGCTAGAGGAAGACAATACATATGATGTGAAATATGACATCAGTAAAAGATACATCCAATCTTTTTGGAAAGTCACCTTCCACAGAGTCTTAGGACTAAAGGTATTTGGTTGATAATGTGCTTCCTCACCATGTGTGAACTCGGGTCACACATGACCCAAGAGGGTAGTATCTTTTTTTTTTTTTTTTTTTTTTTTTTGGTTTTTCGAGACAGGGTTTCTCTGTGTAGCTTTGTGCCTTTCCTGGAACTCACTTGGTAGCCCAGGCTGGCCTCGAACTCACAGAGATCCGCCTGCCTCTGCCTCCCGAGTGCTGGGATTAAAGGCGTGCGCCACCACCGCCCGGCAGAGGATAGTATCTTGTACATTGGAAATGGCAATGGACTTCTGCAATTCTGGGGAGGCTGAGACAGAAGGATCAAAAGTTTAGGGTTTTTCTCAAATACAGAGCCAATTTGAGACTGGCCTATAATCCATGAGAGCCTATCTCAGAAGAGGGGAAAAAGCTTGAGTACTGGGGTGTTAGTCATCACCCCAGGTTTATTGCTATTTTTTTAGGAACAGCATTTGTGTTGCAGTGGTACTGTGTGTGTGTGTGTGTGCGCGTGTGTGTGTGCGCGCGCGCGCGCGCGCACGCGTTCACACGCGCATAGCCAAACATGGTACACATCTATAATATCAGCACACAGGAAGCTAAAGCAAGAGGATCACAGATTCTAGGCCTGCCTGGTTTTCATGGTGATACTTCAGTTTAAAAAGATGCCTTGGGACCAGCAATGGTGGCTGATGCCTTTCATCATAGTGCTTGGGAGGCAGAAGCAGGTGGTCAAGGTCAATCTGATCTATGTAGTGGGTGCTAGGCCAGCCAGGGCTACATAATAAGACCCTGTCTAAAAACAAAAGATACCTTGGTATGATGTCACATACCACTTATAAGGCCTCAAAAGTCTGAGGTAGCAGTCTTCAGTTTGAGGCTAGCCTGAACTCCATGGTGAGTGAAATCTTGTCTCAAAAAACTAAGGGCTGAAGATTTAACTCGGTGGAGTGCCTGTTTAACATGTTAGAGGCAAAGTCTTAGCCTTTGCCCAGGATGCTGCAGTAGCTCCAGCCACTTGCTCCTGCTTCTTTACCCATGGGGAAGATGGGTCTGCCATTGAAAATAGCCCCATTTTGACAAGTCTGCTCTTGATCGTAGTTTCTCGGGGACAAAAAGCAAGAAGAAAGGGAAGAGGTTGCTAACCAGATAACCTTTGGGTGGCACTTAGGTGGAAAATAATAGCTCTTTTCACTACAGACCTACCTTTAGTTTCAACACCCCCCCCCCCCACTCAATTTCCAGGAGCTTGGCAAAGTCTTTAAAGGAAGGGGGTAAGAATGCCTATGTTAGAAGAAGTGTAGGAAAGACACTTTTTTTCAGGTAAAGAAGGGTGCTGTGTAGAGGTAGAGCTTTTTTCCTAGAATGCTTGGTTACAGGGGATGAAGTAGCAGCCTGCATTAGGGAAATGGAGCATAGTATTATGCAGGTTATGTTCTTATCCTTTCTATACAGATCACTTAAACTAACAAAGTGAGTGTTTATTTCTTAAGGACATAGTTGTGGAAGAATAGGAAGCCTGCCTGGAGGCACATTTGCAGCAACTGCTTTATATCCAGGTAGCAGAAAAGACTCAGTGGTACTGGGACTTTTCAATCCAAGGACAGCATCTCCAGAGGAGACCTTTGCTGTCTTAAGGCTGCAGATAAGGTTCAAGAACAATGTTTTATTAGTGGCTTGGTCACTGGGAAGGACCTGGACGTATTCAGTGGTAAGTATTTGCCTAGGATGTGTGAGGCCCTAGGTTCAGTTCCCAGCAACACAAGCACACACAAGATCATGGAAAAGTAGGAAGTACAGGAAAGTGAAATGCTCAGGATTTTTTCCCTGGCATGGCTCCTTAATGCCACACAATTAATATCTCATCTTGAAACTGAAATGACCTTCATAAACACTCAATTATTTTTAAAAAGGCATTTCATGTGCTAAGACTTCAAAATTGTCGTTTTCCAGGGCACAGTTTATATCTGACCAAATTAGAAGACATTGCCTTTTAATGCCAGCTATTTTATCTTGATATTAACAAAGGCTAACGTTTAAATTCAGTTTTGTGCTTGACTTGGACCCTGGAACTAGGGGGAAATGTGAGGCAAAACCAGAAGCATTACTCAAAATATCTCTGGATCTGGTATGTGTGTGTTTTTAAAATAATGGTGTTGCTCAACAGTGACAGAAAGGCAGGCATGGCTCACGCCTTTGATCCAGCACTCCTGAGGAAGAGCAGGGGATCCCTATGAGCTCAAGACCAGCCAGGGTGACACAGTGAGATCATGTCTCAGAAAGTAAAACAAAAAAC